CATCCTCTTCTAGTTTATGCCCTTCGTCCATTCGTTCATTTATTAAACAAACGTTTAGTGAAAATGCACAATATGAACTTCCTGGTGTAATTAGGCCACATTGCTCTCTGTACATTCTTACATCTTCTGTGTCCACTCCTTACCTCCATAACTTGCTAATCAATGCCTTTTTCTAATCTGCCACCCTTGCACCCACAATACTTGAGGGCATTTCATTTTATTTTTTTATGTTCTTCACATTTCCTAGAGTGACTCCTCACATGTAAAAAACCCTCAATAAGCACGTGTTAATTAAATGACTTAATAATGAAAGAACTGAACAATCATACGATAAATTGCTTAGCAAAATACAGGTTCTTGAAGCAGTGGGGAAGAAAACTAGTAAGTTTAACATTAAAAAAAAAGCACCTATCTCATTGCTACTAATTATTTGTTGTACAAAATATTCAACTTTCTACCCAAAGTCTATACTGACTGCCTGTCTCTGAATATCAACAATCACAATCAAATGATGGATGCACTAGAAGATTACATATCTTTTTATTCATTTCACACATTTTAGACATTCAAAAATAATATCAGATTAGTTTTTAAGAGAGGAAAAATCATTTATCGAAGGCAATATTAACCTTTGTCATGAAAATACATTTATCTCCTATGATGCTCATTTATTTTGCATAGCCTCATTTACTGACCATTTTGCTGTGAGCAGGATTTGTGTGAGGTGCCCTGGGACACAAAGCCTAGGTCCAGCTATCAAAAAGAAACTGAAAGGGTAGATGCGACCAGGACTTTCACATGCCAGTTAAAGTGCCATAGGTGATGCAGCACACCCTGGTCAGGGAAGATGGATAAGAGGCTTGAGGTTGGCCAGGAAGGTTAAGTTGGATGCAAATGAGCAAAGGAAAAGGCAAAGACTGAGGGAAGGCAGTAACACCCTTGTACAGTATTTAGAGGGGTTTTTTGTTGTTGTTTTGTTTTGTTTTTAACATGATTACCTTACAGAAGTGCCAGATGCTAAAGTGATTCTAGAGCAGCCATGAAAAGTGTGTGTTCTGTGTCTTAGGACTTTAATAAGCCACGATGGCTCCTATGATGATTATCGAAGCAACCATGGCACCAGTGCCCTAAGCTTCCTGAGTACATGGCTACTGGTCCACAGAATGGCAATGCTAAAGAGTTGCAGAGGCTTTACAGACATGCTTACATGAATCCACCCAAGCTCTCAACAAAGCAGGTGGCTCATGGGAAACCTGCTGACAGGATGCTGTCACTGGCACAAAGTTACCTGTGTTAGGCATTGTTCTGGTCCAGGGAGGTTGGCAGAACATCTCCTTAAGTTGGTGGTTAAATGTCTTTTACTTTACCAAAATCATTGGGTGCCTGAATTCTCTTTGAGGGCAACATCTTAGCCATCTCTTCATCTTGATCCCTAGCCCCAGTACTTAGCAATTACCGGGGCGTGGGGGGTAGGGGAGAGGGAAGGGCGGCATTATTCAATTAATGTTTGGAAAGCTAACGAATGAATGAATGAATGGATAGATGAAGGGGGAACATAATAGTTTATTTATTTATAATTTCAAAACCTGAGGAGAGTTTGGGTTAACTGCAAGAACAAATATATGAACAGATGATGCTGTCTAGGCTTAGGAGATGAGTTAAAATGAACAGGAGCCCATGAAGGCCTCTGCATTGTGGCCATAACAGGCTTTGTTTGGTAACTGTTTGTACTTCCTCCCTTTTCTTTGTTTTATGGAAACTCCATTGTAACTCCATTGTGCTGTTGAACAAGTAAGGCTCAAAAAGGAAAGCTGCAGATTTCACTAGTCCTGACCCTGTAAATGTTTTAGAAACTGAAGTGGAAGTTATGGGAGCAGAAGAAAATGAGTTTCATTATTTTGAGGTGGGGAGGAGATTAATGACATTGTAGCAAAGCGTATACACAATAAAGGCTGGGTGTGTGCCCTGCCAGTTTTGTTAAGTGGTTAGAACACCAGCCATGGACCAATGCTTCTCAGGTTCAATTCACTGCCAAGGGCATGTACCTTGGTCTGCAGGTTTGATCCCCAGCACTGGCAGGGATGCATGTGGGAGGCAATCCGTCGATGTGAGTTTCTCTTTCTCTCTGTCTTTTCTCTACTCCTCCCTCCCTTTCACTCTCTCTAAAAATCAATGGGAAATATATCCTCAGGTGAGGATTAAAATAAATAAATTAATTAATTAATTAATTAATTAATTAAGGAGTTATGAGGCCTGTAGCATTACTTCATCAGTGATTTTTGCAGTGTTCTGTCTGAAAATAGAGAAGCAACTGAAAGAAAAAAATAGAAATGAGAAATGTGATTTAATTAATCAAATTTTGTGGGGTGGTTTTCTTCAATAGGGATTCTTCTTCAACCCTATTATTTTATTTTTACTATTGTTACTATCTTATCATTTTGACTGCTTTGCAGGATTGAAACAAACAAAACATACATGAGGATATGTCTGATAAAGCAAAACCCAAATGCTATTAGCCATTCCATTCCAGACCCATGAGATGGAGCCGCTTTGAACTTCCTCAATATAAATGTTCCACTCGTACATTTTTATGTCTTGATGTCAGAGTTAATTTTAGTTACAAATGGGCCTCTTACCTATATGGCTAGTAGAACTTGTAGACATTTGGAACTTAATTTTACTCATGTAAACATGGCCCTACTCTCTTGTCAGTCATTATTAGATACAATGTTAAACTGAATAAAGTTAAATCTGAAACCAAGACAATTTCAAGCTTATGTCAGTTTTAGTCTGCTTTGAGACTGTGTCAATTTCCAATGAAATGAAGGCATCAGGAACTCCATGGCCAATTTTCCCAAGCAAGACAAAGCTTCCTAAGATCCCAGGAGCAGATTCCAGTTGAACCTTTATGTCACAAATCATTGCAATTCCCAGCCCTAAAATCCTCCGGCTGATATGATTACTTTAAAAATCTGGATTATATCCAAATGTGAGACATAAATGAGGTTGAGACTTACCAATTGCTTGCCATCATCTTTTTAATTTAAATCCTTTTTTTATGTTTTCTGTTTTACCCAATTAACAGGGAAATAATACATTTTTCATGTGTGGTCTTATTTGACCCAATACATAGGTCTCTCTGATTTAAATTCTTCTGTTTGGCATCCTTAACCCACACCTGAGCTACATCATCATCATTACTGTGTTCTTATATTTACAATAAAATTTGCTTATGAATTAAAAGCCAGTCTCTGCTTGTAACACTAGAAAGTGAACAAGCCCCAGCATAGGCCCAAAGCAAGATTAATAATGACATGTCATAATATTCAGCCATAGTAATATCTCTGAGCAAAACTTTATCGTCAACATTTCTTTGTGGAGCCCAGAAGCTGTGTCAGTCGTTTTCTGCTCTCCCTACTGACCTTTTGGGAAATTTTCTTCCACTGATGGAATTGTCATTCTGTCACAGGAAAAGACAACAGAGTAATGGAAAGTGTTGGCTGGCAAAAGCAAGGGTTCAGGCTGGCCTATCTGGGGCAGTTCCAGTAAATTCCTCCTCCTAATATAATGGGAAATGAGTGTTACTTAAGATTTTGAAGTTTCATTAGCACACTTCAAAATTATTTGGCTAGACATTAAAAATAACTGAATATAGTAAATGTATAGTTTGAAATATTATAGTTCCTCAATTTTTATGCTATTTTAAACAGCATAAAAAACATTGTACCCTTACACTCCTTATTTTTGTCAGAGCTTTTACTAGGTAAGCACTAAAAAAACCACACAACAGAGTAGTTGGCCAAGTGAGGCCTGGTGCTCTTTTCAGAATGTATCAGGACACTTTGCCCAGGAGACTTCTTTCTTAGTGTTACTCCTGCTGACAAAGTGGTGGGGTGGGCAGCCCATTCCATTGGTAACTGCTGAATCTATAAGAAGGATTTTTCTCATTATAAATCTATTTTTGTTTTCTTTAACGTCTACTATTATGTCTTTTTCTGTTGACTTCTCCAACTCTCTTTTTGTCCTTTTAAGCCAGAGGTACCCTGATCTTTACCTGATCATTCTGGAGTTAATCATTTATAAAATATACTTATTTTCAAAGTTCTATGGAATGTCTTTAGATGAGATATGACCGGTAATTATAACCACAGCACCTGACAATTAATCGCATTCACTAAATATTAGTTGCATTTTTGTTTTTAAAATATCAGTCTAGTGCACAGGAAAGCACAGGGGCTATGAAATTAAAGAGGCCTAGATTCTATTGCAGTTCAGTTATTAACTTGCTCTAGGACCTTGGGCTACATTTTTCAGTCTCTGTATTCTCAGTTTCATTTTTAAAAAATCTCATTTTACAAAGTTGTGTTCAGGATTATCTGTGCCAGTATCCATAAAATACCTAGTACAGTTTCTAGCACCTAATAGTTGCTCAGTAAATATTAGTCTTCACCCACAGCTCATCCTTCCCAACCCCACCTCCCTTGTAATCTAGAACAGCAGTGTAAACAGGAAAACAGAAGCCTTGGCTTCCAGCTTTGCCCTTTCTACGCCCATGACCTTGGACAAATCACTTCACCTCTTTGCATGGTTCCCTAACAAATAGTCTCATGTCTACTACAAAAGTCTATTGTAAGAATCAAATAGATATTGGATTGGTAATAAATTTCAAATATCATGATGTGTCCTCTTAATGTAAGCTATTGTAATTGCCGGTAGTAATTTATCAGTGAATAACTGCTGAATGAATGAATGATCTATTCCCCCACTTCTCCCTCCCCACACTGGAGCAGGGAGGAAAAGCCCAGCAAACTTAATATTGAAAACTGGTTCACATGTGCTTATGGAAATACGCACACATGGGAACATTTGCCTGATCAATGCAAATCCCAGAAAACACGCTCACATGAACATCTGGCAGAAGAGCCATTGACTGCAAAGGTTCAGAATCCCAGAGTTATAGTTGTCAATGACTGACACTCTTCCTTTAATTTCTTCCAGGAATTTCTATTACATCACAATGTTGCGTGATCCAGTGTCCCGTTACCTGAGCGAGTGGAAGCATGTCCAGAGAGGAGCCACGTGGAAAACCTCCCTCCACATGTGTGATGGGAGAAGCCCCACCCCCCGATGAGCTACCTACCTGCTACCCGGGGGATGACTGGTCTGGGGTGAGCTTGCGAGAGTTCATGGACTGCACCTACAACCTGGCCAACAACCGCCAGGTGCGCATGCTGGCGGACCTCAGCCTGGTGGGCTGCTACAACTTGACTTTCATGAATGAGAGCGAAAGAAACACCATCCTGTTGCAGAGCGCGAAAAACAACCTGAAGAACATGGCCTTCTTTGGGCTCACAGAATTCCAGAGGAAGACGCAGTTTCTCTTTGAGAGGACATTCAACCTCAAGTTCATCTCTCCCTTCACACAGTTCAACATCACGCGGGCTTCCAATGTGGAGATCAATGACGGTGCTCGCCAGCGCATTGAGGAGCTCAACTTCCTGGACATGCAGCTTTATGAGTACGCAAAAGATCTCTTCCAGCAGCGCTACCACCACACCAAGCAGCTGGAGCACCAGAGGGACCGGCAAAAGAGGAGGGAGGAGCGGAGGCTGCAGCGGGAGTCGAGGAGCCACCGGTGGCCCAAAGAGGATGGGAACACAGAAGGGGCCGTCACCGAGGACTACAACAGTCAGGTGGTGAGATGGTGACCCCCTGCCTCTCCTCCCTGTGGCGTTACCTTGGAGACTCTTGGGCCATTCTGAGGGCATCTGGCTGTATGTGGCCGGAGGTGGACACCTGCTTCCTCTTTTCCTTCATCTTTATCCAGCTGGAGAGGGTCGGTCTTGTTCTTTACTTCCTGACATTTGCCAATCTGTGATATGGAGGAGGGTAGGAATGCATCCAGGATACACCGCTTCGGAAGGTCAAGGAGAGAAGCACCAAAAAGGAAACAGTGTCCTTGCAATCTCCTTGGCACAGCGCAGGTGACACTCTGGGTGACTGGACCCCCAGAGGCAGACATGAAAAGCCAAACCGTGGCTTGGATGTTCTGCTGAAACTGGTCTGTTTCATACTGTCTCTGTAATGGAAATATTGGTTGGTTTCAAGAGAGAGAGAGAAAGAAGTCCCTTTCAGCCCTTTGATAAGGTTTTAGGCCAACTCTTACTTTGCTGTTGGCTGTCATCTTTGAACTCTGTTTGAATGGGGTTTAAATCAGAAGAAGAGAAATGTGTTTTGTTGCCGTCTTTTAAAACAAGATTATCCTACTATTGACCATCACTAGAGATGCACATCCGACAAAGCCCTGCATCCCAGCCCTGAGCCATGTTTCCTTCCCCACATTTTAGGGAACTGCAAGTGGATTCAGGTCCGGGTGCCCGTGGCCCCTGAGAAATGAACGTTGGTAGGGGCATTTGGGAGAAAATGTCTTATTAACTAATGCCTATGGAGAGAACTCTTTACCAAGTTGTATTTTCAATGTAAGGAATGAATGATAAGGGGGGCTAGGGGGAAGCTGGAGGGTAGATACATGCCTACCATTTCCAAACTGGCTACAGACCTCAGGTGTATGTTTTTTTTAAAGAACATTTCCAAGTTTTATCTCTTTGGAACAGTCATCTTCTCTGATATGGTACTGCCAGGTCTGAAATTCTACTATCACAGAGGGAAAGACATTTGAAAAGAATTTGGCTTGAAGAATACGAGCTTACGGTAGCTATCAGGTATATAAAACATATTTGAGGTCCTTAAATAAATAATAATTTTGATTTAGGCCAGGAGATACAGAACACAATGGAGCGATTATCCTAGGAGTTTAAAAAGACTCTACCTCCCAAAATCTTAAATATTTCTAGCCAGATAACTTTTTCCTTCCCACATGGTCTTTGCCTGTTGTTAGATTCTGGCTACAGCTGGCGCTGGCTGGAGTGTATAAAACTGAACCCCCCAAAATGCACAGCATTGCTGAATGTTTCTTATTTTCACCTTTTCCCAATCACAACTATGATAACACCATGCTTTTGAATAATAAGGGGAGAAGTATGGGAGAGGACATGGAGATCCCTTGCCTACCTACCAATCAGTTAGGAGGATCAGAGTGAGTAGTAAGTTTCACAATAGATTTGTCTGATCAATCCCCTCAAGGAGCTGAAGGCAAAATGAGTGAAACTCCTAAATCAGATTGAAAAGCCTACTTCATTGATATCCAACATGTTTGATGTTTAAGCCAGCTTTGTATAAGCCACATCTCATCCTCCGGAATACTCTCTCTGGGGTTGAGAGTCAATCAACCCAGAGGCATTCATGGATCGACTGCCTGCACGGAGGGAAGCCTGGTGCTTCCATCAAAGGGAGGCCTAGAAAAATCACATAGACTCTTCTCTCACGACCCTTGGCTTCATCTGTCATGTGATGGAAGGCATTTTGGGGGACCTCCCTTTTGCCAGGAACTGTGGGAGGCCCTTTTTATACTTTAAATCTATTCACAACCAGGTATATATTATTAGTCCCAATTACATAGGTGAATACAGTGAAACCCACTGACAAAATGTAGCTTTCTCCTGACTTGTATGCTAGGTCTGGCTGACTGCAAAGTGCAGTCTCTTTGGACTCCATCGTGATTTCCATATGGGATAAAAGCTTTCAGCCAATCATGCAAGAATCCAGCCATTACTGCCCAGAAGTATATGCCTCTATCCCCTATGGGTCACACAACTGGGACAGCACCAAGGTGGCAGTGACCCAGAGCCATGGGGCCTTGGGTGAGTCCAGCCCTCTCCACATCAATAAACTGAGAGATTGATGACTTTTTAGGCAATTTTACTTTGTCAGCCATTCATGAGGGTGAGTTAAAGGGGCCAAGTAAATATTGCTCATTATTTGGTGGAGATTAGGCTCACAAAATATTAATGTTTTCTTTTCTGATGATTTGTTCCTAAGGTAGGGAGGGAAGGAGATTGCAGCTGGGATTAATGAGAAGCTCGCTCTCTCTTCACATTTTGATGTTAACATCTAATGTTCTGCCCAGGATGGCAGATGGCAGGTCTGCAAATTACCCTCTGCCTGCTATTGTCTCACACACACACACACACACACACACACACACACACACACACACCCCACGATGATAATCTAGTCTTTTGTCATGTGGAAAATCAAACCAAGTTCGAAAGCATTCAGGTTGTTTTCTTTAAACTCACTTTAAATTTTTGGCAGGGAATTCGTGCATAGCTGAGACTTGGAGGCAGCCTCTGCTAACTTCACACTGCTCCTTAGGCACCTCGGGATTGATATCAAAAAGCGTTCATGGCCTTGCTGCTAAAGGCGTGATGTATGGTGCTCCACTGGAGACCAGCTATCAGGATGTTCAGAGGAGAAACCATCTCTTCGTGTTGGCCCGAGGCCAGTGCTGAGCAAATTAAAAAGACCGACAAGGGCTTTCTTCTTCATATCATTTCATTCTAAAGCAGCACACTTGTCATATCCCTGGGGTCCTATGTTGATAGAAACGAAGAGGTGAGGATGCGGTTTGTTCTCTGAAAATTGACTGCACACCTACATGCTGAGTGAAGCTCGGGGGAAGCGATGCCAATAAAAGGCATGTGGGCCTAAGGATCCAGGGGAAGTTGTCGGCCTTCAGATCCCAAACCAAATCAATTCCAGATACATTAGTGTTAAAAGAGAGAGAGAGAAAGAGAGAGAGAGAGAGAGAGAGAGAGAGAGAGAGAGAGAACGAGACAGAGAATTCCCCAGGGAGTGCCACATCCTGTTGACTCCTGCAGCTCTGAGGTAGACATTCCCTTCCTTCTCTCAGCAATGGCAGCCCCAGTAATGAGACTGGGATGAGGTGTCTGTGTGTGTATCTGTGTATGTTTAAATTATTGTTATCATTATTAAGGACTAAGGAGGCTATTCTGCCTCCTCATTTATTGGCAGCCTCCTCTTGGTAACTGGGGAAAACCTGCCCTGAGAATTATCCGGATCCCCTTTATAATAATTAATATCATTAGCAATTAGCTTTAAGCAGCAGTTAAAGATATCACATGTGCTGTTAAATTTATAAAAAAAACAAGTTTTTTTTATCATCTAAAGGAGGTAACTGTCACAAATAGTTTGATCAATGGTTTGAAAAATGAGGATTTGTTCAAAAGTCTGTCTAGAGATAGTATATAGTATGGGAGAGAAGGTCTACCAGATAGACCTAGCAAGGAGGTGAGGTGAGCATAGATCATAAAAATAATAACTATAAGTAGTTTATTGGATAGGTTTTCCATTTGGCTGATTTAACAAAGAAACTCAAAATGTTAGTGACTTCAATAAGATGGAAGAATTGTTCTCTCGCTTAAAAGACAAACTGGTTGGATAACTGGTGCGTGACATTACCAGAAACCAAGGCACTCTCTTGCTCTCTTGTCCTAAGGTGCAGATTCCATCTCCTGGCCCAAGATGGCTGCTGCAGCTCCTGCCATTTCATCTACATTTAAGACAACAAAGAGGGAACATGGAAGGAAGTTGCACATATCACTTATAGCCACATCTTATGGGCTAGCACCTAGCCATTAGCTACATTTAGCAAAGAAAGGCATGAAATGTCTTTATTATTGGTTGCTATGTGCCTTGATATGAAGGTCCTATTATTTACTGAAATAATGTAAAAATTAATACTGATGAAACTATTAGTCTCTGACACAAAGGGGAATTAACAAATACATCCAGTGCTTTTTGATGTCATCTATATGGTCATATGTTTTACAATAGATAAGTTTAAATTCATAACTTTATATAGCACTTAATGTTTTTAAAAACATTTTTACCTTTAGTATCTCATTGATCTTCACTACATTCTTATATGTTAAATAGGACCTCTACACATTGCCCATTAGATAATTTGACATGGAAATTCAGAGATGTCGAGAGATTTCCCAAAGATTACAGTTTACTAACAAGGAAGTTGCTCAGAGCCCCAGGCTTTTGACTTCAAGTCTTTCCTACTATTTTGTGCTGCTTAGCATCAGATTTAGGGTTGGGAATTGAAAAAAAATATGAATCTAAACCTTTATTGATTTATATCTTCCCTTACCTTTTCATGGAACTGCAGTGACTTAGATAATGCCAAGGAGACTGGCAGAGTTGGCCCGTAAGCCCCTGCGTCTAGTGAGGGAGCCTGTTAATAGGAGTGAAATGGCCAAAAACCTGTCAGTGCTGCAGGGGCAACTGAAAAGCACAGGCACTCAAACACTTCTTGCTCATGTTCACCCCATCCAATCCCAAAACCACTCAAGGACAAGGCTGAGGGGATGTGCTTACACCTCCTTAGGGAAGCTCAGTGTTAGAAATACTTACAATCAGCAGCAGCCTCAATGCTGAAGCTTAAGGGGTGATCAATAGAACCCCTGCTCTAAAAATTTACTTTCGTCTCTACCTCTTCCCCAGGTCCCTAGAATTTTATCAGCAACTTATTTTTTTGGTTCCTAAAGGTTTTTAAAATTTTTTTTTTCAGTGATTCCCTTTGCACATTTGCTAGAGAGAGGAAATGCTTTAAGCTGTCATAAGCTAACACCTTCACACAGAATGTTTATCTGGCCTCTAGCTCAGAAGAAGGTCCTATGTAATAGGATCATGTGTGTGTGGGGAGTGGGGGGTTAGGGAGACTGGGAATAACCATAGGAAAAAAAAAGTAGAGCTCCTAAAAAGGAAGCAGACCTTGTAAAGGTGGAAAGATG